AGTCCTGCAAACCAATGGTAGAGCAGTCGACGCCATCGATGGTAACGGTTCCGGCCGTCGGCTCAATGAGTCTGAAGAGAGCCAACGCGAGGGACGACTTTCCAGCGCCGGTGCGGCCGACGATTGCAACTCTTTGTCTGCCTTTTATGTCAATTGCTATGTCTTTGAGCACTAAATCCAAACCTTCTCTATATTTAGTGCAATAGTCTGTAAACTCAATGCAACCCATTGTCGGCCAATCGGTCGCAGGTTTGACCTTTTTATACCACTCGGCCTTTAAGATGAATGCAATTTAACGATAAAACAATACTTTATATAAAACTATCAAAAATCAAATTTTAAAATACATAATCAATACCTCAATTGGTATTTGCGTTAACGCCAAACACCTCTCGACAGCCATTCTATCGGTCTCAGTGTCGGTCAATCCCAACACAAACCTTCCCATAACATGAGTGATGTTCGCGGCATAAGTGATGGCCAGAGCGGCCACTCCGGCGTCCACCGTATGCCTGAAGGCGACGGCAAACACCGCCGACAATAACACTATACTATAGCCCAACAGCTCGAGCCGTACGGCCAGCCATCGCTTGGACACGAGTAGCGCGTATTGACACGTGTTGTGAGCGTCAAGACGTCGGCGCGACTCCCGGCGAATGTGACGGTCGGCGCCAAACGCCCGGATAACTGCCGTCCCGTTGTATACCTCCGCGAAGTGGCTTATAATGTGTGTTCGGGCGCCGGAGTCCATATATCGCATCTGTCGTAGGCTTGCGATGTATAGCCTTTGACACCACACGTACACCGCGATTATGGGTAGGATTGCCAGCAGTATTAGTGGTGTTTTCAATGATACCATAATTAACGATACGATTGTTGTGAAAAAATTTCTAAACGTTAGTCTGAAGTGAAAATAGATTTCGGTGTCAATCAGATTCATGTCTTCGGCGAAAGGGTTGAGCGTACGACCAATTAGTGTTGTGTCTGTCATATATAAACACAATTACTTCTCTCTCTCTCTCTCTCTCTCTCTGCAAACAAATACAATACCGAAGTAATTGATGGTCGCTCTCATCATACGTTCAATCATAAGATTATGCAATTGTTTGGCAGCGGAAACACAGGCCATACTAACGGTCAGTTGAGCGCAAACAATGAACATCATTTCAATTAAGCCAAACATTGCAAACATAGCCAGTCTATGGTTACGCCACCAGCTCTGGTCAGATGTGTCGTGACCGACAGCATCGGTAGACCATTGGCTAAGCCACAGACCCGACGCCACTGTCCCCGCATTGCCAACAATATATAGCAATAGTATAGTGACTATCCATCGGTAGCCAATCAATTGAGCGTATTTCTTAACCACGTCCATTTGAGCTGTAGGAGCCTCTGTGGCTTCATCTCGGATCAGTTTGCCATTCAGTTGTCGGCAATTGTGTCCATTAATCGGTTTATTGATATGATTCCCGGATATCTGACGTCTTAGCCGATGGACACTGTCTTCTGTGGCATCGGATTGATGTGAATCTCGTCTCCCAATTAATGGTTTCACTGTTTGTCTCAGTTTTGCCAGAATTTGTCGCTCTTTCTCATCGATGTCTTCGGATTCCTGTTTTACAACATATTCGGCGACAAATTCAGCGAATTCTCCACTTTTGGCCATCAGTTCATCAAATAATCCGAAATCACAAACGGATCCCTCTTTTAAGACAATTATTTTGTCCACTTCTGGCAAAACTGACGCCTTATTTGTCACTAAAACACGTGTTTTGTGGCGAAGAAGTCCTTTCGGACCAATTGTTTGGTCAAATAGATGTCGTCCGACGTGTGGGTCGACAGCACTCAACGGATCGTCCAATAGATATATGTCTGCCGAGGAATAGACAGCCCTCGCGAGTGAAACCCTCTGTTTCTGACCGCCGGACAAATTGATCCCTTTTTC